CATTCTTGTTTCGATTTCTTGAGAAACTTGCTCGTCCCAGCTGGGTCTATCATTGATTGTAGAGCTTTGTTGTAACAAATTAGTTGCTGCAGCTTGGCTGTCCTCTGTAGCCATAGGTCCTTTGTTAACAAGTAGGCTGTTTGTTTTGTCTAATAGAGATTGTTGCTTCTCTAGAGGGGGCTCCAGTGTCTTAGTTTTCTTGTTTTTATTAGTTTCTGTGCTAAAAAGTTTCCGTTTCTTGGGAACTAGGGGGGAAACCCCTGTTCTGTTACTGGTTTTAAGTTTAAAAGGCTCTTGTGTAGAGTTTATTTTGTCTTTTCTATGTTCTCTCCGTCCTAGATGTACGTGGTCAGGAGAGAGAGTGTGACGATCATCTTATGTTGTTATTTTAAACTTGGTAAAAATAAAGAAAAGTACTAGACAATTGAACATTTTAATAGACGTTTTATATTCAAAGCTTTGAGCAAAGGTATCTCAGCAACTATTTAGCCAAATTTGGCGACTTTTTTTATTTTTATTTTACAGATCTGCAGAAACAGAATAAAAAAAAATATCAAATTTGGATGGGTGGTTGCTGAAAATCTTCGCTCAAAGTTTTATAAAAATTTTGCCGTTATTCTTTAATGTTTTCAAAACTTTGAGCGAAGATAACTCAGCAACCAACCATTCAAATTCGATGAATTTTTTTTATCTTGATTTACAGAACTGAAAAATCAAAATAAAAAAAATTACTGAATTTAGTTGAGCGGTCATTGAGACAAATTCTTAAATTTTATGAGAATATGATGCATCAAAATGAAACTTTTTCCCTAGCACACCCACAAAATTGTTCCCTCCCGTGATTTTGATCAATCAAATTTCAATACCAGGTGTAACGTAAACAATCGAAGCGAAACAAAATAACAGAAATAACTCGAAATTTTAATTATGAAACCACCTTCTGCGGCCAAATTAAAAATGTTCTTCGTGAATTTTACCAATAGAAAATCTATCATCCTAACTCCAACCTTAACCCTAACCCAAACTACAACGTTTTTATTCTCAGTAAAAATTACAAGGAGGAACAATTTTTGTGGGTGTGCTACCTAAGTCGTGCCATTTCGTGCATTCCCGAAACCAACCCGTCCACAACCGGCTCACTTTTCTTATAGGGCAGTAAAACCTCCATAAGTGCACCCTCTATAAGTGCACGCCTCTCTAAATGCACAATCAACCGGTCCAAATATATACATTTTCCCTATAAACTTTTCTTATTGATCTCTAAGTGCATTTTGTTTAAGCTTGGCCCCAATAGCGTGCACTTATAGAGGTTTTACTGTATCTGATAATGATATTATTGATAATGTGCAACCATACCATCAAATTCTGAAAAAAAAATCTTTGGAAAGATATAATGAAAATAATTTTAAATCCGAATTAACCAATATCATCAATAATTCTTCCTCCTCGTGTGATTTAACACAAAATTTACTACCAAAAGTAATAGATTCATTTTCAACCGAAGTTAACGAAGAGCATGCAGCTGAAATTTCTTCATGGATTGATGAAAAAGTTACTACATAATCTATAAGAGATATCCCATATGAATTTAGATTACTTTTGTAGAAGCAGAGATGGGTTTACCGCTGATTCATTTTGGAATTTGTGTGATAGGGTTCTGCAAATACCCATATCGGACACTAGTGCCTTATGTCCATGCCTGTGCCTATAGGCGCAAAAGTGACAAAGTGCTAGGTACGGTACAAGTGTCAGGCAAAGTGCCATGCTCAGTTAAATAATAAATATCAAATCTCAGTTTCTGTGCCCATGCCTAGATTTTTTGTTGGGCGCAGGCACGAGCCCAGGTTGCAGACCCTATTGTGTGACAAGAAAAAGAAGTTTTAATCATAAAGACACTGATGAATTTTTTGGTGATTACAATCTTATTGGATGGATCTGCTTTATTTTTCGTTGAAGAATGGGAATATTCAAATTTTATTTTAAGCCATATAAAATAATCAGAAAAAGATATTCATAATTTAACAAAATAGGCCATCATTTCGTCGAGACCTTATAACTTTTAATTTTGAAAATAAAAGTTTTTGTCAACATAAATATTACGAAAAACAAATTAGAAATGTGTCTAATAAATATGGTGAATCTTTTTTTTTCATTGGAGGAATATGAAATATTTCAAATTTATAAAAACAATCTTATCAGGCTATAAATCTTAAATGATTTATTAATATAACAAGCATACAACCAAAAATTATTATTATTATTATTTTTTTTGCTTAATAATCTTTTGAAATAAGATCAGCAATTATTTATGAACTTATATATGCTCAAATAATAATTTGACATTTAACCAATTATAATTCTACTTTGAATTTAAATATCTCTCTATTTGAGCTTTAGTGTTGTTTGGCTATAACTCAGACCGGTGAGATATATACCAAATCCTTGAATAAATATATCGAAATAAAATATTAAATTTAATAGCTGATCATTTGAACTAAATTTACAAAAACGTGTAAAATAAAAAAAAAATATACATATAATTATATGCAAAAAAAAAGATTTTGTAAATACATTACACTGAACTAGATGTTACGGAACTCAAATTATTGGCACTTTTAGAGGTAGAATTTTCATCATTTACTTTTGCTTTTTTAATAAAACCTATTTGATCCTCATTTGAAAGCTCTTCCAATGATAGATTCATTGTTTCAGGTATCAACAATGTCGATCCAATTCCAATAAACATGAAAACAGCAAAAACTAAAATCAATCGATTCACAAACTTGTTTCTACCTCCGGTGTCTTTGAGATTGATGAAACCAATTTGTGCAATGATTGCACCTAATTTTCCGGATGCAGCAGATATACCATGCCCCGTTGAACGATATCTAGTGGGGAAAACCTCACCAGGTATAATGAAAGTCGTTGTATTAGGGCCAAAATTTAGAAACAGCTAAATAAGAAATTGAAGCATTAATTAAAATTTAAATGGCACTGATATCAAAATAAAATAAATTAAAAAAGTTCAATTAGATTTAATAATATTACCTGACATAAGGTGAATATTGTGATGAATATCGGTGTAGAAATTTGATTATAAGCAGCACCCAAAATTAAAAATAATACAGTGAGAACTATAAAACCCATTAATTGAATTTTTATACGACCCATTTTATCTACTAGAAAGACGGTAAACCAATATCCAGGAACAGTTCCTAACATAGTAATGATAATGTTTCCAACAGACATATTCCATAAAGAGGTATAAGGATCAGGACTATCAGCAAATCCAATAGCATCCAAGATAGTTGCATTATTTAAACCTATGCCTATGTAATTAAGAGATTGATACTTTTTATATAAATATGTAATGGACAGCAAAAAGACAAGAATTTAGATAAATTAACATTATTTACCATAGAAGGCAACATCTAACACGAACCACGAGACAGAGGTACCTAATAGAACTTTACCATTATGCCATTTACTAAAGTAATTGATAAAGTCCTAAAAAAAATATATAAATTACAGTTAATAGGCAATTGATAAATTGAAAAGATAAAATATATAAGATATAGCATTAACAATATGTTACCTTAACAGTGGCGCGAGGAACCTCTATTGAAAAAATAGGCGTTTCTTTTTCCTTGTTAGCCTTGTTCGATAATACAACATCAATGTCACGAGAAGCTTTTTCGACATCTTTTAAAATATCCATAGTGTAACGTGGAGTTTCGGGAATCGTAAGACGAAAGTATAAAGCAATGACACCTGGGATGGCACCAAAACCTAATACTATTCGCCACACATGATCAACGTATTGTTTATCTTTGGCAATAAGGTCTTTGTAAGCAGCCAGAGTGACCACCGAAATCACAGCCGCGGATAGAATACCGAAACCTTGCATGGAGAAAACAGCAGCCATCATTGCTAATTTTTTTTCAATAATTTTTATATAATTTTGATAAATATTCATATTTATTCATAATTAAATTCATTTATTCATTCAAAAGATTAATATACTGTACCTCCACGTCTCTTTTTAGTAGCAAACTCACTTGTGATAACTTTGAAACGATGGTAATAATAGAAGTTAAAATTTGAAGATAATTGAAAAAAAAGAAAAGTCGAAAAATCAAAAAACATTTACCAGCAGATAAAGGATAATCTCCACCAATTCCAATACCTAACACGAATCTCCAGAACATAAGTGAACCCCAAAGAGTGATAGCAAAAGAATTTGCACAGAGCGCAGAACCAATGGTGGCAGCAATCATTAAAGAAAGTTCCAAACCATACATCTTTAACACAATAAATTAAGAAAATAATATTAATAATAGCGAGAGCAATAAAATTAAGCACAGTTTGGTAAATGAATAAATGAAAAACGCATTTACTTTGAAATTACCTTTTTGCGTCCATAACGATCAGCACACCAACCAAAAACCAATTGACCTAATAGAGTCCCTATTGCAGCAGACATTTTTAACCCCATATCGACCATTGCAGGAATGTTATTGTCAAAGTAGATAAGGCTTATCATGGTAGAAACCAAATTTATAACGAATAAATCATAGGCGTCAGTAAAGAAGCCAACACCAGATACTATGCAAGCTCTTATATGAAACCATTGAAAATCTGCGTTATCAATTTCAGAGAGTTTTGTTCTACGTAAAGCATCAAGATTAGAAGCTTCATCATTATAGTCGTCGTAGTAGAAGTCGTCATCATCATAATATTTTTTAGGAGAAACAGCAACAGCTTCGTTATTTGTATGCATTAGTAAAAAAGGACACTAGAACAAAAAGAGTGACTTATATTTGTTTATTACTAATATTAAGATTATTATTACGGTATTAAAGGAAGGGGTATACAATAAAAAAAGTAAAATCAGGACTCATTCTAAAGAAAAAAAATCAAAGCCAACGAGTTTTTTTTATCATAATTTTTTAAGGTTCGACAAATTAGCATTAAAAATTTAAAAATTTACAAATGTAAAAAATTGTTATTTAGCACAATATAATATATAATTTGAAAAGAAACTAGACTGTTTTTTTCCATTACTTTTACATTAATTGGTACATAATTAATTCCAATATAAGAAATGAATTTAAAATCATTTAGTTATACAAAATTGTCTAATTAGAAACATTTTCGTTAAGGTTTCACGAAAAGTTTGGCGCATCAACATTCGGATTAAATTATCTCCTTATTTTCGCAAACTAGCAGAAGATTCTTTATAGCGTTTATTATAACAATGTTTAATATTTTTCGTATGCATGCATGTAGGTATATGCGTACGTAGGTACGTATATGCAAAAAATAATTAAACATTCCTCATTTAGGGGTCCTGTTTTCTAAATGCAAATGGAGTCTGGAATCTCCGAGCATCTAAAATCACGAAAAATAGTAGAATGGCACGATTATCTGGGAGAGAATGCATTGCGTTAGATGATCTAATAATTAAAGTTATTTGAACACTAAGGAACTAAGTGAATGAAACACTAATTACGGAGGGATGTGTACTACATACCAAGAGATTCAAAAGATTGAATAAATTAGCCAAAATAACAAAAATAGCATATTTTAAATTCTAGGTTTTTTTCTACACCAAGTATTTATCCAAAACTTTAATAATTATTAATTAACGAATTAAGTATTGGTTATTGGAATTTTAAATTTCCGAGTAAATATTGTAAAAGTCGAAACAAGCTGTTGTAACGAGTTACAAAAAAAGGAACACGTTATTTGTGTACCAAAGAGAAAAGTTTATGTTGTGTTTTTCAATTGTTAATTAGCAGAAATCTTGGTCAAACGGCGAAGATTCCGTGATATGAATATTTTAATGATTATAATTTTCGTTATTATCTGTAAAAGAAAAATAATGTTTACTACACGTGTACTTAAAAACTATTAATTAAACGTTAACCATAATTGACATAAACCATTATTGTATTTCAATATATATATATACTTAAAATAGTATTTGTATTTCAATATATATTTAAATATAGTATATTATTAGCTCGTTCTGGTTAGCTTTTTATAAAAAAGTAAATAAATTCAGTAGCTAAAGCTTTATTCCATCTGTTACAATTTGTTTAATGTACGAGATAATTGGTTTACCCAGCAGTACATGATTTCACGACCTAAAATTAATATGTTGAATAAATCGGTGAAGAAATTATTAGCCTTTTTAAATTTACTAATTTAGTTACTGTTTGAGTAAGTAGGTAATTAATTTAGTTTCTGCAAGCTTTTGAATCCTCCCAAGAACTGATGAATGTACATAATCATGTGCATCCATGCGATAAGGACATTGAATAAAAATTTCGATCTAATGCATTTAGTGATACCTTGTTGGCTAGTTATCGAACAATCACTAATCGATGGATCAAGCTTACCAGTTACTTGGATTATGCATGAGATCAACTATCGTTTGAAAGATTAATCATTACAAATTCTAGCCTGGATTACTTAAGACGATATTTTATTTTATTAACTTACATATCCATGCATTGAGTATTGTTAAATTTGATTATGATTTAAAAATCTTTTCATCTAAAAATCTTTTCATCAGCATAGTGAATTAGCTATATTTATCATAGTAAACTTGTTGAACTGATTTAAATTAGGCCATACATACAATTTTTTGTTTTTAGAATATATATATATATATATTCAAGTTTACTAAAATGCACCTATGGTGTTCAACCCCATAGGTCTCTATTTCTCAAAAACGTACTAAGTAAATGGAATTGGGTATTCTAAGTAAAAATGTTCAGGACCCCAAAACCTCATAAAACTAAAATTAGGACCTTA